CCCAGAATTCTGGGAGTTGAACTCCATACATCCTCAAGTTGCCAAGGTTGAGAAACACTGAATTAAATAAAAGGCAGACCACCATCTCTGTAGGTCATTGGTCATCCTGTTGATAATATTGAAATAAGTAGACCAATAGTACAACTAAAAGAACTTCCAAGTTCTTATAACTAGAGTATACCTCTCCCCCTCAGATGGTTGACTCTCGGCTTCTTTTTACTGATGCAAACCCTTGGGGCCAGTTCTGACTAGCCTTGTCCAATGGCTTCATTTTCATTGACAATGAGATGATATTCTCCAAATACATTGAAAGATGACAGGATATCCTTGAGGACCCTTTTGGTGTGCTGAAGTTTTTATGAAGTCCAAACGGTTTGTTACATAAAAGAGATGAAGTGGTGATAACAGGAAGTTCTGAAGCCATTTAATGATGGATCTGAGTTTCTTAAATTATTTTACAGTATTTCAAGTCTGCTGTTTGGTAATGGGTTTGGCAATGAACATTCTTTGCTTGACCTACAGTAAAGCCCAAGGAAGTCAGTGGAAAAACAATCCCTTGAAAAGATATTGGAAAATATCAATTATATCTAGCACTGTTTCTTCTCTCAATAATGTCTTATCCTCTTATTCCCCCAGCAAATTACTAATGTTTCAGAGGAGATGGGATCTGGAGATGGTAACCGTAACAACCATGGCCAAATGAGCCCCCCTTGAAAGGTTCAGAAACAATCTGTAGAGCCTGCCTTTTATTGAAAACTAGAGATATTGCTACACTATCACTGCTTATGTCTGATTCTCTCTGTTTCTTTTTTGGTCTTCTATAGGTCCAAAGCAAAAACTTTACACGAAAGAATCCCTTTAGCTGGGCTCAGCAAGCTACCAAACATTCCACAGATTGCAAAAGTAGGTTGCTTGGAGAGGTAATCATAAAATCATGGTGATACTGATCGTGATCATGACCACTAGTAGACTGTGAGATTTAGAGGTTGGGCTTTATTAATACAGAAAGTACATCACCAAAACTTCAATGACAGCAAGAAAAAAAATATCACCATGGAAGTAAGAATTCAACACCGACAAAAACATATAGTCTGGAGTGCTTTTACGCCCAAAGTGTCTTTGGTGCTGACTGTAGAGCAGGACACGAGTGTCAGGCCTAGCCCAAGGAACTCCAAGAGACAATGCCAATTCAGTCCAGCTATGTTT